CATCACACATCCCATCAGATATACCATCACCCACACTGTCACACACATGCACACACCAGCACATGCCTGTACACGCCATCACATGCCATCTCACTTGATCCCTTCCTTCTGTAGGTAACTTCTTCATTACCAAGAACATGGAGGTGAAGGTTGGCGACTTGGGACTGGCCACAAAAGTGGGGCCTGGGGGGCACTGCCATGGGTAAGTGTGTGTGACTGGATCAACGTCTGGGTGGTTATATGGGTGACTTGCATTTGGGATCTTGTGGCAGTGTGGGCTGTCAGTGTGACTTTGTGTGAGTGTGTGTATGTGTGTCCCTCTCTGTGTGATATACGAGGGTGTGCTCACGTGGGACACCCTTCAGTCTGGGTTGCATGCTGTCAGTGCTTCTGTCTTTTCCCCAGGGGGCTCTGTGGGACTCCCAACTACCTGGCCCCAGAGGTTGTCTCCCGAAAGGGCCACTCCTTCCGGTCGGACATCTGGGCTCTTGGCTGCATCATGTGAGTACTGAACATATGGGGTGTAACTGAATGACTGTATACACGTGCACATGTGTGTGTGTGTGTGTGTGTGTGTGTGTGTGTGTGTGTGTGTGTGCACAGCCGCAGATGCAGGGCTGCTGGGGGCTCAGGGCAGGGTCCATGGCAGGCTCATCCCATCAGAACCCCTTCCTTACCCCAGGTACACAGCACTGACGGGCTTCCCCCCCTTCAAGGCCAGCCCACTGCCTGAAATGTATCAGAACATCCGCGACGCCCACTATCCTGTGCCCACGCACCTCTCACCCAACGCCCGAAGGCTCATCGCCCACTTGCTGGCCCCCAACCCCGCTGACCGGCCCAGCCTCGACCAGGTCCTGGAAGACGACTTCTTCACCCAGGTCAGGACCACATCACACCTGGGCACGGGCTCACGCGTGGTATGGGAACGTGGGCTCGGCCAGTCAGGTGAGGTCCTCCCTCCTCTGAGAGGGGCTGAGGCCTGACAGTACCCACATATTCCTGCTTGTGGGTCAGGCCCTTTCACTTCCCTTCGTGAGTGGTGCGGTATCAATCAATCAATCAATCAACATCAATCATTTATCAAGTGCCTGATATGTGCCAGAAGCTCAGGAAGGAAGACTGGACTTGGAATCACAGGAGCCCCAAGTTCAAATTCTGCTTCCAACAATTGACTATGGTCGCATCACATCCTTTCAGCCTCAGTTTCCTCCTCTGTAAAATGGGGAGAGCAATGGTTGCGCCACCTTCCCCACAGAGCTGTGAGGCTCAAACGGGAGAGTGGTCGGTATGTACCTGAAAAGACTGTGTAAATGGCAGCTGCTGTTGTTATGATTATTCTTGCTGTTATGTCTCTGGGGTTGGGGAAAAGGGAAGGGAGAGATGAATGTGCACCTCTTACAGAGAAGGAAATGGAGGCCTGAGGAAGAGAAGTCGCTTGGCCAGTCACAAGGCTAGAATTAGAGCTGGAGGTGACCTTGGAGACTGTACTCGAGTCCCTTCATTTTACAGATGAGGATACCGAGGCCTGGAGAAGGGGGAAGGGCCATAGCATCAAAGACCCAGAGCTAGAAAGGTCCTCGGAGGACGTCTAGTCCAACGTCCCATCTTACAGATGAGCAGACTGGTGCCCAGGGTGGGGAAGTGACTCCTTGCCCAGGATCCCCCAGGTAGCAAGTGGATGAGGCAAGATTTGAACCCAGGCCCTCAACTCCAGAGCCGAGGCCTCCTGACCTTCTGTGGGGAGAAATCTTTTTTTGAGGCAATTGGGGTTAAGTGACTTGCCCAGGGTCACACAGCTAGTAAGTGTCTGAGGCTAAATTTGAACTCAGATCCTTCTGACTCCAAGGGTGGTGCTCTATCCACTGGGCCACCTAGCTGCCCTGGAGGGATTTTTCTACTATGTGTCATTGGCTTTATTCTGTTACTTCACTGCTGAGTTCTCCCTCCTTTCCCCTGCAGGGCTTCACCCCAGACCAATTGCCTTCACAGTCCTGCCACACAGCACCCATCTTCACCATCCCCCAACCCTTGGACAAACTCTTTCAGAAGGCCACCCAACTGTTCTTGGCCATGGCCCAGCACCGGGCCCCACGTGAGTTGTGTGGGTGTGGAAGAAGAGGCAGGAGTCTGCATTCCCAAGGCCAATTCTGGTGCCTCACTGCCGGGGGCAGGCCAGAGACACCACCCTTGCTCATGTCTTCTCTCCCCCCTCCTCGCTTTCCAGGATCATTTGTCCCAAAGATGCCAACAGCCCCAGCCCCAGAGGACCCCCTGAAAACTCCCAGGGAGGCAGCCAATGAGGTGAGGGGTCCAGGAGACCTTCCTGGGATAGGAGGCTGGGGGCAATGTGGGTCACATAGGGTCCAGAGGGGCTTCCATCCCTCATTCTTTCTCATGACTCTTCTCATTAACAGTCTTCAGGTTGCTTAGTTGTAAGATGTAGATAGTGACCCCTAAGTTTTCTTCCTGCCCTAATAGCCTCTGCTTTCTCTGACAGTCCCTGTTCTAAGATTTCTTCCACCTCTGACACCCTATGTTTTAAGGGCCCTCCTAGCTCTGACATCCTGTGTTCTTTTTCTTTTTCTTTTTCTTTTCTTTTGGTGAGGCAGTTGGAGTTAAGTGACTTGCCCAGAGTCACACAGCTCGTAAGTGTTACATGTGTGAGGCCAGATTTGAACTCAGGTCCTCCTGACTCCAAAGCCAGTGCTCTGTCCACTGCGCCACCTCGCTTTCCCCATCCTGTGTTCTAAGGGCCCTCCCAGCTCTGACATCCTGGGTTCTAAGGTCCTGACATTCCATGTAAGAGTCCATCACTGTCTAGGGTCATGGAGGGAGGAGAAGAGAGTTCAGGGCAAGTTTTCAATGGGAGTAGGACAGGAACTGGCTCTCAAAGGACTGGATGGGGTTTTCAGCCAGGAATAGTACAGAGAGCCCGGGCCTGGGAGCTAGGAGACCTGGGTTCTAGTCCTGGCTCCATCACAATTTGATATGTGACCGTGGGCCAGTCACTACCTCACCTAAAAATGGAGGGTAATAACATATGAACTGTGCCTGAATGGATTGTCCTGAGGAAGGAACCTTGTAAATTGGCAGGACTGGCCTCAGGCAGCTGGGTGGCCCAGTGCATAAAGTGCTGAAACGAGTCAGGAAGACCTGAGTTCAGATCCAGCCTCAGACGCTTACTAGCTGTGTGACCCTGGACTGGTCACTTAACCTCTGCCTCAGTTTCCTCAGTTGTAAAACGGGGATAATAACAGTGCCTTCTCCCAGGGCTGTTGATCAAATGTGATAATAATTTTAAAGCACTTGCACAGTGCCTGGCACACAGTGGGTGCTTAATAATTGCTTATTTGTTCCCTTCCTATTCGCTGTTTAGGGCCTTTCTCATCCTCCCCACAAGGCTGAAGCTCCTGAGGGAGAAACTCATCCCCAAGTACCCTACCTGGAGACTCCCATCCACCTACTCCTACGGAGAAGCCTCAGGCGTCACTCGCCGGGCACAGAAGGTGAGCTGGCACCAATCCCTTCCTCCTTCCCCCACCTAACGTTCCTATTGCCCAAACCCGTGGAAAGGGGAAGACACGGGAAGAAGGCCTTGTCCACAAGGATGGAGGCTTGGGAAGGGACATCTGGGGAAGGGGGGAAGGAGTCCTTGGTTCTAATACCAGCTCTGCCACTGACTTGGCTTGTGACTTGGGGCGAGTCACTTAATCTCTAGGGCCTCAGTTTTTCCATCTATAAAATTAACTGGACCTCAGATTCCTTCCAGCTCTAAAAAAATATTCCATGCAGTTCTGTGACTGGCCAGGGCCACAGCTGGATTGTGCAACCATGCTTGGCTATAGCAGCTAGTAGAGAACAAAATCTTTGGTGCTTCTGGGTTCTGAGACTCCCTGAGGATGCTAAGCTGTGTCAGAATCTCACAAATAGAAGAGATCACAGAGGGTGTCTGATCTGACACCTGCCTGGGCAAGAACTCTCTCTACAACGGTCTTTTTTTTTTTTTTCTGGTGAGGCAGTCAGGGTTAAGTGACTTGTCCAGGGTCTCACAGCTAGGAACTGTCAAGTGCTGGATTTGAACTCAGGTCCTCCTGACTCCAGGGCCAGTGCACTATCCATTGCACAACTTAGCTGCCCTCTACAATGCCCTTGATAGTGGCAGCCCACTCTTCACTTGAATACTTTTAGCAACGGGGAGCTCATTATCTATCTTTCCTATTTTTCCAGAGTCCCCAGGAATCCCAGGCAATGGGGCTGAGATGGCTACCAGGCTCCTGCAGAACTGCCTGGACTTTATGCCAGCAGGTAGGCCCCCCCCCAATCTCCATCTCCCTTTCTAGACACAGACTAAGGATCTAGGTTCAGGCTCTGCAGCTGATCTACTGTGTGACCTCGGGCCAGCCACTTACTCCGGCTGGGCCCCTCTTTCCTCCGCTGTAGGATGAGGGATGTCCGACATCCTGGTTAGCCCTAAGTCCTCATTCTTTGGAGACCTGGCACCCTCTTCCTCTCTCTGCCAAAGCTTTCACTCTGGTGCCCCAGCATCCCGAGAGCTGGGATGTCCCCCTCAGGGGGACAGTTGCTAGCTTACCTTGCCCTCCGTGTGTTCAGGGAAGCAGGACCCACCCGGGCAGCAGCAGCCAGTACTCTGGGCCACCAAGTGGGTGGATTATTCTAACAAGTACGGCTTTGGCTACGAGCTCTCCGATGGCAGCACTGGGGTCCTTCTCCGGGATGGCACCCACATCGCTCTCCAGCCGGCCCTGGGGTGAGTGCCTGGCCCTTGCGTCCATCGGGGGGCGGGGGAGCAAGTCTCCAGTCCTCCATCTGCTGGCTCCCATGCTTGTCCCCTGGGAAGGGGCCTTGTAACCTCAGATCTTTCCCTCCTCGTGAGCATTACGTCTACTCTGGGCCCCCTCCCACAGGTGCATAAGCTACTCTCCAGTACAGGGTGAGGTGGTGACCTTTACTTGGAGGGATATTCCTGACTCCCTGGCCACCAAAGTGGCGGTGCTCCAGCTCTTCACCCGCTACATGCAGCGGTGGCTGTTAGAGGTGAGGCTGGGCCTGGCGGGCACAGTGGGGCTCTGGTGCCCTTCCGGTCTCTCCAGCCCTTGGCTCCTTTACTCTTGTCCTCCCTCCAGGGTGGGAATCTTCCTACACAGCCCAGTCTGAACCCTGGCCCTGGCTTCTCCCTGCTCCACTTCCTCAAGTCTGACCAGGCCCTGCTCCTGCTCTTCAGCGATCAGACAATGCAGGTAAGGAGGTCAGGGGGAGGGAAAGGGAGAGGGGAGAAAAGGGATGCTGGGTAGCAGAGCCCAGCCCTGGCCACAGCTACCCTCTGTCCCTAGGAAGGGGCTTCTAGACTCGGGTCCCCGAGATCACACAAACTACTAGGAAGTGTCAAGGGGTAGTAGAAAGTGCCCCAGGCAAGGAGTCAGCTCTGCTAGTGACTAGCTGTGTGACCTTGGGCAAGTTACTTGACCTTGCTGGGACTGGTTCATCGTCTATAAAATGAGGTTGCTCTCCAGAATGTTTTCCCACTCTAAGACTCTCAGGGAGAGGGAGCCTCTGGGACATTATCTTGCTGCAGCACGGGATGAAGGGAGAGGTGAGGAGGGGTCCCTGCGACCAGCTGGTGCCTAAGCCCGCGTCTGTCCTTAGCATCAGCTTTGGGCACCAGTTACTAGGGCAGGAGTTACCAGCCATTGTTGCCTACCCTGGCCAGGTCAACTTCTACCATGACCACACCAAACTGCTCCTGAATTGGGCCGGAGAAGAACCCCTGCTCACCTACATTGACCAGGAGCGGCGGGCCACGTCACATCCATTGGGCGCCCTGCAGTGCTGCGGCTGCAGTGAGGCCCTGCGTCAGCGCCTCTGCTACACCCTCCACCTGCTCCGGACCTTCTAGTGCCCTTTCCTCGACCCTCTGGGATCCCAGGGGAGGAGGCAGGGGTCTGCGGGGCGGCCGCCTAAACCCCAACGATGAGAACAAGCCAGAAAAGCCGCGTGAGGAAAGACTGCAAGTAGGGAAGATGTGGGGCTCAGAGACTAAGGGGGCAAAGGGCACAGGAGGTACAGAGGGTCATTGGCAGGTTGGGTTGGGATGAGAGATCCAGGGAGAGACAGAAACTAGAGGAGCTGAGGAGAGGTGGCTTGGACATGGAGAAGAGGAGGCAGGCAGAGAGCTTGGGGTGGCCCAGGTGGAAGGGGGATTTGAGAGAATTCTCTGGAAACTTCAGAGACTTTCTCGGCCAACCCCTTCATTTAACGGATGGTGACCCTGAGGCCCGAAGAAGGGAAGGGACTTAGCCAAGGATACGGAGAGTGGAAGACCCAGGACTAGAACACAGGGCTCCTCACTCTCATTCTCAGTCCACTGCCCTATTCCTTACCCCATGCTGCCCAACTTCCAGGAAAACCAGCAGCGACTGAGGCTGGAGTGAGAGCCCGAGGGGTGGGCAGAAGCAAAGGCGAGTGGAAGGAGAGCTGGAGCAGTTTCCTTTGGCCACCATGGACCCATTGAGGTCAGGGCTGATGTCAGTTTGGTACCAAGATCGGGCTGAAAAAAAAAAAACAACCAAGATGAAATTTAACAGGCATAAATGCAAAGCTCTACTCTTGGGTTCAAAAAATTAACGACACAGGGACAAGATGGGGGAGATGCAGCCAGAGAGATCACGTGAAAGGGATCTGGGGATTTCAGTGGACCACAAGGTCCATATGAAGCAACCCAGACATTGCAGCCCCCAAAGCTTGGTCCAATCTTGGGTGGTAGAAGAGAGAAAAAAGCATTGAGAAGGAAGAAGGTGGGAGACATGCTGCCCTTTGCCGTGGTCGGACATTTAGAGGACAGTGTGCAGATTTAGGAAGGACATTGGTAAGTCGGAGTGCAGCTGAAGGCTGGACAGCACAGTGAGGGCCCTGGAAATTATGTCATACCAGATCAGCTGAAGGAATTTGGGGATGTTGGCCTGGAAGGAGAAAAGATGGGAGGATGGGAGGGTGGGGGATGGGAGAGACATGACGGTTTGGGTTTTTCCCCAAATATCTGAAGGTTTGTCATGTGGAAGAGGGATGATGTTGCCAATTTCAGATCTGTTCTGCCTGTCCCTGGAGGTCAGATCTAAGATCATGGAAAGGAAGTTGCAGGAAAGAAATTTAGGAGAAATCTGTGCAACAAAGAAACGGACTGCCCTGGGGGTAGGGGCACCCTGTCTCTGGGGGTCTTCAGACTTCCATTTGTCAGCCATGTCCTCATAGATTCATACTGCAGGGAGAAGGGCCCCGTTTGATCTTATGGCGGATTTGGCCTGCGGTAAGGTAGGCAGGCACAAGCCAAAAGGGCCAAGTGGCAGCCGACACGGCCTGAGGGCATCTCGCAAGGTGTCCATTGCGCTGGACTCAGTGTCTTCTAAATGGTCTTTTTCATTAAAGGAAAAAGCTGGGAATGGATCCTGTTGTCTGTTTGCGAGGGTGGGACAAGATGGGAAAAGTACTACTCGCCAGGAAGGAGAGGTTTCTTTGTCCAACTTCTGACAAAGCCAGTCACAGGGAAAAGAGTTGTTGGAATCTCTTTGAACCTGTGGGTCCCTTTACATCCTGACTTCAATGATCAGGGTTCAAAGGAGCCCAGAGGATCTAATGGGATCCCTCTAGTCTTTGTGATTGGCCTAGTCTCGGTAATGAGGCGGGGAAAGAATACTGGATTTGGAGTCTAAAGACGGTTGTCTGCATCTGCCTACTTACGTGACCTTAGGAAAGTCCCTTTCCTTCCCCAAGTCTCAGTTTCCCTATCTGTAAAATGTCTCTCTTAGATGACCTCCAAATTCCTTTCCAGCTCTCAGATCCTATTATCCTAATATAGGTGGTATATGGCGGTTGGGGGCAGGAGGAAGAGACAGTCTACAACAGGAAATTCCACTTGGCAGCCCAACCCATACAGCCAAACCCTCAGTTTTTCCCCACAGGAATTGGAGCTGGACAGGGAACAAGGCCAGCAGGGGGAATACTGTGGAGGTCAGGGGATGTGAAATATTAATGAGACCTTGCCAGATTTTTCAAAAACTCATTCCATGAGAGGGGAGGCAGGGCCAAACCAGGGCTCCTGGGCTCAGCCTCCTAGCTCTCCAGGGACTTCTCCAAAGGTTTTCTTTCCCCCACCCTGGTCCCGCCCGTGCCAACTCAGGGCTTTTAATATCTGTCTGGGCTGGAAATAGCCATATAGTCAGGGCCTGAATTCCTGACTTAGCTGGGCAGCCCCAAGCTGTCTGAGATATAGACAAGGGTAGGGAAGGGCTGGCCTCAAAGGTGACCCTTGTGGGTCATGAGCTGGTCAGAAGGCTGAGAGCAAAGTAGCCTGTACTCTCCACTGGGCCTGCTAAAGGGCCTTCAGTTGTTGCCCACTTGTGTTTGTGGACATCCTGGGGTGGGTCTAGATTCTAGAGCCTTCTAGTGGCTTCCCTAGCCAGATTCCAGTAGAAGATGAACCAACGGTCTGATCCAGGAGTAGAGGAGGGGGGCAAGGAATGTGATCCTATTCTTATAATAGGACAATAGGAGGGGACAGAGTCCCAATACCATTCCAGACTGGTCCCAAATGCAAATCCTGCTTAATAACAAAATAGACGTGATCAGATGACAAAAGGGTGTTTTGGGAGGGTTGCTCCTTGATTATATGATGCAGCTTTAGAACTGGAGGGGATCACCTCTTGTCCAAAGGGGCAGGAACAGACCTAAAATATACTTGAACTGTCCATTAAAACGGAAGGGTGGGGCAGCTAGATGTCGCAGTGGATAGAACACTGGCCCTCGAGTCAGGAGGACCTGAGTTCAAATCCGGCCTTAGACACTTGACACTTAACTAGCTGTGACCCTGGGCAAGTCACTTAACCCCATTGTCTGAAAAATTAAAAAATTAAAATTAAATTTAAATTTAAAAAAAAAAAAAAAGGAAGGGTGTGATGGAGAGAAGCCCAGGCTGTGGAAGCTTTTACCAGCAGAGCCCAAGATCTGGGAGTGCCTCCCAAGCTGGAAATACTGGTCCTGTGCTTATGAGCCATCAGAAGATCACTCACCTAAGCATGAAGCATATGTTCTCCTGGGGAATCTGGGTCTCAGGGCATACTTTATTTCAACTCCAACAAGGAACCAAGATCAAGGCCAAGGCAAGAGAGAGTTATGATCTGACCTAGTGAAGGGAGGATTCAGGACCTCCAGGGCCTACCCAGATGAAATCATGAATGCTCAAAGCTTATGTCCAACCATCCCGAGATTTCTCCCAACCCTTCTACAATCTTTGTCTATTTTGCCTGGGAACCAGATTGCTGTTGTGATTCCTCATAGGACAACCACTGATGGGTCCCAAGGTACTTTTACTGTTGGGGTCTAGGAAGCAGTGTCCTCTCTTTTTTCATCATCACCTCATGAAACAGTCTTAGAACTGGGGAGCCCCTTTGTGATCATGGTGTTTTATAAAGAGCATGGGGGCTTCAACCTGGCTCTTCCACTTACAAAGTGACCTTGGGGAAGTCACTTAGCTTCCCTCTGGCTTTATTTCCTCCATCTGGAAAATGCTGGAAAATGGGTATAATAACCCCATTGATGCAGACCTCAGGGATGTTGTGATGATCAAAGGAGAAAGGAAATGCTAAAGTACATTTGTAAACTAAGTGGCAAGATAAATGTGTGCTATTCTAATCACCCGCTGCAACCCCTTCATTTTACAGATGGGGAAACCAAGGCAGAGAGGGAATTGACACTTGTATTACTAACCTATTGGAATTACTGTAAAGACCCTGTAAAGGGAATGTATGTAAAAAGGTCTTGGTAAAAGCATGCCAGGATTGAAAAATAATGAGATGCATATTTTTGTCAGTAAATAACATATTGTCCATCCAAATGTGTTTGTCTGTCAAGTAAAATATTTCCCAGTGGATCATAAGCTGCTTAAGGGCAGATATTATTAGCCACACTTTGTTTCTGATCATTTCCATTCAATAAACGTTTATCATGAAGGGTTCCCAGCTCACACATAACAACATTTTTACGCTGCTTTAAGTTGGCTTACAAAGTACCTTCCTCATCACTGAGGGAACGTAACATAAGTGTTATTTCCCATTTTACAGACTAGGAAATGGAGGCTTGGGAATGTTAACAGACACAAAACTACTGAGTGTCCAAGTCAGAATTCTGACCCAATTCCCCCACCTTATTCATCTGGTTGGAGTTCCAATGCCTTTGGGTTCTCTCAAAAGCCAAATCTACCATAAAAAGGTAGGGGACAGTTTGGATCCTCCTCTAAAATGGGCCTGGGCTGTTGATTTGGTTCCCAGAGAGGGGCCGATGACTCTCTTTTCTCAAAACGGGACCAGCTGAAAAGCTCAGCCCCTGAAGGGTTACAGCTGGTCTCCTCACTCCCCACCCCCATCCCAGGGAAGCTCCAGGTTCTGTTACAAGCTGGCCCTAGAGGAGGTGGGTCAGGAGGCAGTAATAGTAGAACCCACTCTCCTCTTGGTCCCTAGGGGTGAAAAAGGTGGGGAGAGGAGACTGCACTTGGACCATGGGGATGACTTCATGGAGACCACTAAATTCAGAACGGGCTGAACACAATACATCTGACCTATGCCAAGAATGTGGCTGCACTCGTTTCTGAGGGCATAGTACATGTCTGGAGTGTTTGAGGGCTGAGAGAAGGAATGGAGGGGAGACAGCAGACGGTGGTGCCCTAGGCAGGCTCAGAATAGCTATGGTATTAATATTGGACTGTGGCACATTATGGCCCCCCCGGAGTCTGGGGACGCGGAAGGAATCGTGGAATCGTGTTCCTAGTTATTCCTGGGCCCCAGCCAGCCGCAGTTCTTGAGAAAGGGCATTAGAGGGGCCCCAGTGGAGGCAGACGGAGTTGGGATG